ACCACGTTTTGGATCTCGGCTCTATAAGACGATTCATCGTTATTACTGATGAGACCGATGATGGTGGTGTCATCAGCATATTTGATGATCAGGTTAGAGTCTGAGGAAGACACACAATCATGAGTGTACAGTGTAAAAAGTAAAGGACTCAAAATACATCCCTGAGGAGATCCAGTGCTCACAGAAACAACATCTGAAAAACAGTCATTGATTTTCACTCTCTGAGATCTGTCTGTTAAAAAGCTATAGATCCATTTACACATGGCAACACTTAAGCCGAGAGACATGAGCTTTTCAATCAGTATACCTGGGACAAGACAATTAAAAGCAGAGCTATAATCAATGAACAGCATTCTTGCAACAGATTTCCTATTGTCCAAGTGACTGTAGACAGAGTTCAGAGCAAAGGAGATGGCATCCTCCACACTCCTATTCTGTCTGTAAGCAAACTGGAGCGGGTCAACACTCACAGGGATCTGGCTCTTAATGAAGTCCAGCACAAGCCGCTCAAAAGTCTTCATTAGGACAGAAGTGAGGGCCACAGGGCGATAGTCATTAAGGCATGTCACAGGAGTTTTCTTAGGAACTGGGATAATGATCGACTCTTTGAAGCAGTTCGGCACAGTACAGTTCCGTAGCGACAGGTTAAAAATGTCTGTTAAAACAGGGGCAAGTTGCTCAGAGCACAGTTTCAGGACGCGAGGAGGGATGCCGTCCGGGCCAGGGGCTTTCCGGACAATGGTGCTGGACAAGACCCGCTGGACTGCCTCCTGAGTCACGGTGAACGCACCTTGATTGAGGCAATCAGGAAAGACAGTAAGACAGGCATCGGCAGATTCGAAGCGGCAGTAGAACGTGTTCAGCTCATTAGGCAGAGCTGGGCCAACAGATCCGATTTTCCCAGCACTAGGTTTCCAGGACGTGATGGCTTTAATACCGCTCCACATGCGCCGAGGGTCATCTTCCTTAAAATAACCCTTAAAATAACCCGTGAGGACAGTGCACAGTGGTGAGTGTTATGTATGAGGACAATGAATGGACAAAACGACGATTTCTTTTCTGGGGCGGCGGCCCCGCTTGGGACCGCACGTGGACAACCGTGCCTGCAAAAGGAGAGACACGAGTCTTAGAAGGATTGGAGGAAACTAAACTAAACTTTGTGATCTTACCGGCCAACGCAAGACTCGTGCGCACGGACAGCGGGAGGAGGGGGAGAGCCAGGTGGATTATTGGCTGGTCCTTACTGCAGCTCGAAGTCTGAAGCAACAGTGTTTGATGGTCAGCTTTGGCACAGGGCCAACCAATAAAAGGATGGACAATGAGCAACTTACCGAGGAGGAGGACATGCACACACGCACAACCCAGACTGTGGCGCCCAAGCCCACAAGCGTGCTCCACAGAGGAGGCAGCCGGTCACCAAACGCTGTGACCACCGCACCCAAACAAAGACATATGCGTGCGCGCTGCGCGTTCCCGTGTCTTTATGGGCACTGCTCGGTGACGCCCACCAATCAGCTCAGGGTAAGGTGTACACCGACATGCCACATTAAGTTCTACGAATAGGTGCGTAGTCCCTTAGCGGACTTCGCTAGTGGGATATCACGTGACCCCCAGGTCACAGACGCCAGAGAGATCAACAAAAAATGCTCCAATCACTAGCGACCCTCCTCTATAAAGGCTGGCCTGATGGGCTCGTAGCTAAGGGACTACGCACCTATTTGTAGAACTTAAGTTACATTAGGTAACTATTAATTCTACGTCATGGTGCTACGTAACCTTGCCTGCAAGCTGAATTCTTGCGGTATTTGTGAGTTCACAAACACTCGAGAATACATCTTGTACCGCTCCCGCTTACACTTTTCGAGTCGAACCACTGGGTGTGCGAGCCAATCACGCGCCAGTCTGGGGGTTTAGGGCGGGATATCCGGGTTTGACGAAAGCAAGTGCCGGGCCGAAGCAAAACAAACATGGCTACGCAGGAGGACGGACGCGTAGCTGAGGCTATCAGGTCAGTTTTAGCAGAATCTCCAATTTCTTTTTTGAAAGATGAACAGCGAGAGGCGCTTTGTGCATTTCTGGACGGCAAAGATGTTTGTGCATTTTTACCTACGGGTTTTGGCAAGAGTGTAGGCGGGCACACAGCGTCACTTCGCCCAATCAGCTTGAAGTATTCTGCTGCTTATCCCTCCTTTCCCCGAAAGGATTCTCCGGGAGAAATCCCAGATTGATATCGCGGAGAACGCGTTAGAGTTCTACACAATCATCAATCTGGCTCTTGCCAGGTTAGGTGCTACGTCCCTTAGCGGACTTCGCTAGTGGGACACAACGACCTGAAGGCCGACGTGATGACCTTGGGGAGAAAAGCCGGATTGGGCCACAACTCCACCAGGCCGTCGCCCACTCCAAAGGACAGGCAAGACGCATGGACGGAGAGCGCACACAAGTCGCCCGCCCTCTTGGCAAACGTCAACGCCAGCAAGAGGGCAGTCTTAAAAGCAACACACTCGGGACTCGCCTCCGCCGCCGGTTCAAAAGGCGGGCCCGACAGACCCCCTAAGGACCACCCTGAGGTCCCAAACCGGGGGCGTTCTCTGAAGCGGGGGCCTCCTCCTGCGCGCCCCCCGCAGAAAACGTTTAACCAACGGATGAGAGCGGGCTGTGAACCCCCCGAATCCGTCGTGACCCGAGGTAATGGCTGCCGCGAACACCGGCAAGGTGGCGACAGCCCTCCCCTTGTCAAAAAGTTCCTGTAAGAATCCCAGGACTCCCTCCAGCGGGCAACGCCTGGGATCCCAGGAGCGAGAACCGCACCAGTCGCTGAAGAGCCTCCATCTCGTGGCGTAGGCCCTCACGGTGGACGGCGCCCTCGCCCCCTGAATAGTCTCCACCACCGCCGGGGGAAGACCCAGGTCTACGAGGTTCCGCCTCTCAGCCTCCAAACCATGAGCCTGCGGCCGATTATCGGGCGTGAAAACAGGGCCCCCCCCCCCCTGGACTAGAGCCCCCGGCTCGTCCGGGAGGGCCCAGGGCTCCATCACCGCCATGCCCCTCAGGAAGGGGAACCACCGGGCATGTGGATTGTCCGGAGCCACCAGGATCACCAACCTCCTCTCCTGTTCGATCCTCCGCAGCAGGACCGGCAGGAGACGCACTGGTGGAAAGGCATACAGCAGGCCCTCTGGCCAGGGGTAGTGAGCCAATGCGGCTCGTCCGCGGCCCTTAAGGCGAACCAGGACGGGCACTGTGCGTTCTCTGCACTGGCGAAAAGGTCGACCACTGGACGATCGAACCTCCGCCAGACCTCCGCAGCTACCCGTGGGGCCAGGCCCCACTCGTCCTGGAGTGGGCCCCCCTGGACATCCTGTCGGCCCCCACGTTCCGGACACCCGGGACGTGGCGCGCCCTCAGAGACAGAAGGTGAAGCGCCGCCCACAACCCTCGAGTGACGCGTCCGTGAACACCTCCACGTGAGACACGGCGCAGGCCAGAGTTACTCCGTCCCGCAATAGACCCGGAGTGAGCCAAAACCTGACGTCCGATGCTGCCACTTGGGGAACCCAAATAAGCCTCCCCCCGTCCCGGGAGGGGTGAAGCCTGAGGCGTGAGAACCACTTCTGAAAATTCCTCATGTGGAGAAGGCCTAGCCGCACCACAGCATGAGCCGCCGCCATCATCCCCAGCAGGGACCTGAGGCGCCGAGCGGGGACCCTGGGGCCCGCCAGAACCTTCCTGGCCGGACGGGTAATGTTCCTCCGTCTGTCCTCGGACAATGCAGCACGGAATGTCACAGAGTCTAGCTGCAGGCCGAGATAGATCATGCGCTGAGCCGGATGCAGCCTGCTTTTCTCCCTGTTCACCTCAAAGCCCAGGCGCTGTATGTGGGGCAGGACCCAGTGCGTGTGACTCACGGCCACTTCCCTGGATGAGGCCAGTATTAACCAATCGTCTATGTAGGTTAATATTCTTACCCCTGCGCGTCTGAGCGGCTCCAGTGCCGCCTCCACGCACTTTGAGAAGGTCCGAGGCGCGAGCGCGTAGCCGAAGGGGAGACGGCAGTACTCGTAACTCCTCTCTCCCACTGCGAAGCGCAGGAACCTCCTGTGTTCCGGAACTATCGGCACGTGAAAGTAAGCGTCTGTCAGGTCTATGGAGGACATCCAATCTCCCTGCCTGACACACTCGAGGAGCTGTTTTGTGGACAGCATCCGAAACTGCCGTTTGGAAATGCACTCGTTCAGAACACGCAAATCCAAAATGGGACGCACCCCGCCTGACTTCTTTGGCACCAAGAAGTAAGGGGAGTACAGCCCCCTGGTGGCGTCCTGTGGGTCTACCTCCACTGCTGCGCCTCGACTCAGCAGAGAGGAGACCTCCGCTTGTAGTGCCACTAATGATCCCCGTACCTGAGAGCGTGCTGCCCGTACGCCTCGGAATGGTGATGGCTTTCGGGAGAATTGCTGTGCGTAACCCCTGCGCAATGTCTTCTCCAGCCACGGATCCGTCAGTAATCCCTGCTCCCTCCAGATGCTGTAGAAGTCTGTGAGGGGCGGAACGGGAGCTGGAACACGAGACGTCACAGCCCCGCCCTCTCCTGGTGTTCCTAGCAGGGAGGGGGGGTGGACGAAAGGGCAGGGGGGCCCCCTGCGTCATACCGTAGGGTGGCGGTCACGTGTCCTGCAGGCCGACGTCATAAGTACGGGTCTGCTCACACCACGTGACTCGACTGCTGCGCCCCCCCCTGGCTCTTGCCTCATGGAAGGGGGGGGGAGCCCCTGGAGTGGGAAACCCCGTGTTTGCCTTGTAGCTCAGAGGGGCTAGCACGTGTTCGTGTCAGGTGTGGAACAACCAGTAACTGTTTAAAAATGAATAGGCACAGGCTAAGATTTCAGATACTTTTATTCATAAATATGATTATAAAATGCCCTATGGCGCTAATTAAAATGGCCAATTAAGAGTTTAAAATAAGACTAAGGGTCTTAAGGTCTGGTCAAAATAAAAGGTTAAGGAGGAGCTCTCTGCTGGGGCCGCTCTCTGCTGGGTCTGCTGGGGCCGCTCTCTGCTGGGGCCGCTCTCTGCTGGGGCCGCTCTCTGCTGGGGCCGCTCTGGGCTGGGCCTGGCGCGCGCTGCTCCGCTCTGCTCCGCTCCGCTCTGCTGGGGCTCGGGCTGGGCCTGGCCCGCGCTGCTCCGCTCTGCTGGGGCTTGGGCTGGGCCTGGCGCGCGCTGCTCCGCTCTGCTGGGGCTCGGGCTGGGCCTGGCGCACTGCTCCGCTCTGCTGGGGCCGCTCTCTGCTGGGCCGGGTCTGCTACTCCACTGGGGCTTGGTGCGCCACACCAGGGTAGCTGCTGAGAGAGCAAGCAATCAGGCGCCGGTCTCACGCGCACGCACACACACACAGAGTCTGGGGCAGCTTGTTCACGTCCCTGTAAGTACTCAGCTCGTCTGGCGTTATATACAGTGCTCCACTGAGCTGGATCCGCTGGGCCGGGTCCGCTGCTCCGCTGGGCCGGGTCCGCTGCTCCGGGTCCGCTGCTCCTTGGGCTGGGGCCTGATGCGCCACGCCAATGCAGCTGCGGAGAGAGTGGGCAATCACGCTCCGGTCTCACGCGCACGCACACACACACAAACTGAGGCTGCTTGATCACGTCCCTGTATACTCAGCTTTACGGGGCGTTGTATGTGGGCTCTGCAGGTCTCTCCTTGGGGCGTGCTGCTCCTCGTGCGTGCTGCTCCGCGTGCGTGCCGGTCCTGGTGCGTGCTGGTCCTTGTTTCCCCTTGTCCTCTGTCCTCGTCCCCCGTAACGCTTCCGATTTCCTTCCTCCTCTCAGTCCCTCTGTCCGGGTTTTAAAAAGGGGAAAGTCCTCCAGTCCGACCAATCAATCATAAGGGGGAGGGCAATCAATCAGGACTGTCCCAGGCTCAAGCCAAAGTCAGTATATAAAACTACTAAAAACAAGGTCACACTAAAAACACTACACACAAATAAAACTGGCTTTAGATTTGGAGTCCCAGGCTAAAATCTATGTTTGACATTCGGCCGAAGCACACACATCACTACTCACCAGATCCCTCTTCCTGACCTCTCTCTGGGAGGGCATAGCATGGATCAGAGGACCGGAGCTCGTAGCTCGCGTAGCGCACTGCACACCCTGCTCTGGGGGCTGCAGGCCTAGCGAAGCAACGTTATGGGCCCGGGAAGTAACACAATCAGATTGCACATTAGACATTTAACGTACCCCCAAATGAGACTCAGACAACGAGTACTGATGAAATGCCGGTCGGCCTTTATTGAAAGAATTCTTGCCACTCCGACCTCCTCTACCATAGGGAGGCCGGCGGTGGGTGCGTTGCTCCCGCGAGCCACCCGTGGGTCTGTCTGGACCCGGGGGACTCGTCGAGGTCCACAGAACACAGGACCACAGAGCGCGGATACGGGTCAGGACGCCTCCCGGGCGAACGCTCTCTGCCTCTGTCCCGGCTCCGTGATGGTGGGCGGGCCTCGCGCCTCGGTGCTAGGTGCGGGGCTAGCCTAGCCGAGTCGTTGGCTGCAGACTCCAGTCTCGCCACCAGGGTCTGCATGTCCGGGCCGAAGAGGGACGTCTGGGAGACGGGTAGGTCCAGCAGCTGCCTCTTCTCCGCCTCCCTGATATTAGCCAGCCCAAGCCAAAGGTGCCTGGCCCCGACTTGGGCTGCTGCCATGGAGCGGCCGCCATCCACGGCTAGCGCCTGGCACATGCGCAGGATCGCCGCCGAGGTGGTCCTCGCCTGCGATAGGAGGTCTCCACTGAGCGCCTGGCCAGAGGAGAGCGACCTATCCAGGGCCCCCGTGATGAATGCCATGTTGTTTGCCAATGCGACCACCTGTGCCGCATTGGCATAACATCTATCCAGCATAGCCAAAGACATCCTGTCCCGCTCGGAGGGAAGGAGAGGTCTGGTGCCGGGCCACATGCGGAGGGCTGCAGGGCCATGCGGACTGAATCCTCGATGTCCGGGACACCACCGGTCCAGGACCAGTCCTGCACGCTGCAATACATGCCGTACCCCAGAGCAGGCCTCTTGGCTGCTAGGGGCTTTGGCCACTCACGTGTCGCGTAATGGACGATCGGGTCCATCCGCGGGCACAACGTGGGTTGTATCCTCCTCCTGCCTCGAGTGGTGGCGCCCACAGAGGTGAAGTCCTCCACCCTCTGGATCGGCTGCGGTAGCAGAGGAGCATCCATGATGGCCGCCGCGGAGGAGTAGAGCCCAGGCATGTGGTCCAGAGGAAAGCGGTCCGGCTCCGGGTTCGAAACCACCTCGTCCAGGGTGAGGAGAGAGCCGATCTCCGAAGCCTCTCCATCCTTGCAGTCACCCCATTCCGCGGGCACGGGAGGAAGGTCGAGTGGGGCCCAGTCAATCTCAGACTCCTCGTCCTGAGAGGAGTCCGGACGGGGCGCTGCAGCGGCGAGGAACGCACACCTGCGTTCACTCTCCTCCCTGGGGAGAGTGAGACACGAGGCGCAGCTAGCGCTCAACGCCGCATGGCCCGGGCCCAGGCACATGAAGCAGCTGGCATGCTGGTCCGTGCGCTGGAGCCTGACTCGACACGCCGAGCAACGACGACGTCCGACGCCGGAGGGCGAAGGGGAACTCGGACGAACAACGGAAGACATCTCTCAGAATGAAGTGAGTACTGTGGTAGATCTCAATCGGCGCCAGAGTGAAAGAGGGGGCGCGGCTATGGAGCAGGGGCCTTTATAGAGGAGGGTCGCTAGTGATTGGAGCATTTTTTGTTGATCTCTCTGGCGTCTGTGACCTGGGGGTCACGTGATATCCCACTAGCGAAGTCCGCTAAGGGACGTAGCACCATGACGTAGAACGACTCAAGAGTCTCACCTTGTTTTTGATTTTGTGTGTGAAACTTGTGTCTTTCCATCGTTTTATTGTGTTGTGGGTTACACACTTCCCGGAACTTTTGCTTGAGACATTCGGGATTTTCTCTAGACTCTGCTGGTGCCGTTGTCACCTGGCGCCCTAACTTTTGCTGCGTAGACGAACGAACGCTCCCGTTCAATGGCTTCTGTTCCTGCGAGATTGAGGAGGATGTAAGCTTTCGTCTTCGCAGATTTGTCTGCGTGTGCTGCCTCTATAAAGATGTCGTATTCCCTTTCAAACACACGCCAGCTCTCGGCAAGGTCTCCATCAAAAACGAGCGGGTCGGGTCTGCAAAATCCCTCCGCCATCACGCTAGCTAGTCGTAACGCTTTACTCGTTCAATCTTCGGGAATTTCACAAAAAATGGCAGCAAAACTCACGGGCGATGGGCTCATAACTTATTCTGACACCATGTTGAAATGAGCGAGGAGTCAGTGATGAAGTTCCGTTTATGTTTTAATCAGCTTATACAACATGGCTGTATCATGGAACTACTTGGCAAGAGTTGAAGAAGATGACATAGTCTGGGATCGCGTCTTTAATTCAGACAGAAGACATGTTTTATTGTCAATGGTAGAGACAGCACGATCAACAGATACAACAGAATGCAAGTGTATTATACAGAGCGGAGGCATGGAGACCTCCAATCAGCAGCTGCCACAGTGTGCTTGTAGCTTGGCCTTCAGATAGACAAAACAAGGGAAAAGTACAGGCTTCTGCACATTGATAGAATGATGAGTTTAACTTTAACAAAAGTTGCTTCAAAGTGTTATGAAATCTCACATTCCCCCCCTCTGGTCATACATTCACGTGTGACCATCAGGATCGATAAACAGCAACATAACATCATAACTCAATACTTCAAAAACTCATAAACTCGGTACTTCACTCGGTACTTCAAAAAACTCAGAACTCGGAATACTTCAAAAACTCATAAAACATTTTCAGATCTTTCATAAAACTTGTCAACAATCTTCAGTAAAATACCAAACTTCATCAGTCGATGGTGGTTCCAGATATTGCTTTGAAAACAGTCTCTCCCACTTCTCCGTGTTGGTTTCTTCAGGCTGCATTTGTGTCGAGCCATGAATTCTTCTGTGACGTGTCTTTCAATCACACGTTTCAGCTTCAGTGTCCAGATTCAGCAATTCAATTCAGTCCAAATTATGTCCAAATTCAGATATCCAATTGTTCCAAATCATGTCCAAATTGTTTAATCCAATTGTTCCAAATTATGTCCATGCAAAAGAGGACGCTGGTGTTGTCCATGTCTCAGCAGCTCACAGCAGGCCTGAGTGGAATCAGGGGCTGTGCAGATTGTCCAAGTGTGCTGGTCCAGATGCATTCTCTTGAGGTTTCTCAGTTTTGGCTTAAAAAAAAAACACATTTTTGTGTAAAAAAAAAAGTAGTCTTCTGTTCTCTAGATGTTACAGACAAGGCCCGCATCCTTCCACCACCTGAAGAAGATGACATAGTCTGGGATCGCGTCTTTAATTCAGACAGAAGACATGTTTTATTGTCAATGGTAGAGACAGCACGATCAACAGATACAACAGAATGCAAGTGTATTATACAGAGCGGAGGCATGGAGACCTCCAATCAGCAGCTGCCACAGTGTGCTTGTAGCTTGGCCTTCAGATAAACAAAACAAGGGAAAAGTACTGGCTTCTGCACATTGATAGAATGATGAGTTTAACTTTAACAAAAGTTGCTTCAAAGTGTTATGAAATCTCACAGAGTGAACAAGTATATTTCTGAGCATGCGCACTGATAACAAGTACGGCATAAGACAAGGCACATTTATCAGAATGATCTGAGTGTGTTCACAGTAAAGTGACAATTGAAGTATCTGGACTTTAAAAGGTTATAACTTAAAAACTAAAATTACTTTCATAGATTGGAAAAAAGATTTAAAACACAGACGGATTGAAGCGATAGTGTGGAAAAAATCAAAAGGAAAGATTGACATAAAAATGTTTAGCAACATTTTAAACGACCAAATGAGCCTCTGATTTGACCATTCTACTGTGACGCCAGTTACATAGAAAATAAAATGTCCTCAGTCTGAAAAAGCAGAAGATGAAATCCCACAAGATTTACATGGTTAACACAACAGAAGGAAATCACTTTATATAAAAAGGAATCGTAAAAAAATAAAAAAATATTTATTAATTAAATGACCCCTGAAAAATTAAACTTGAGAAAAAAAAAAAAAATCTGGTCTGTTTTCACATTTAATTGCTTGACAATGTGAAAGTATCACTTTGCATCTACTTTGTGTAAAAAAAATAGAATCTCTGAATCAAATGTGGACATCTGAAAATACCTATCAAACTTCCACAAAGCTCATTCCGTCAAATCATCACGTCCGTTACATAAAATAAACAGGGCCGCTATAGGAAACTTGTCTAATGTATAAAACAGTTATGTTCTAGCAACTTCTAATGAACAGAGGTGGTGTTTGGAAACATAAAAAACATAAAATATCTTCTGATTATTAAAATCTAATTTTTGGCCTTTTGTCACACTTTTGTGCCCTTTAGTGTGAACAAGCCCATCTACACAGGTCAAACATTCAGTGTTTATTTAAAACGCCGACTCATACCTGACAATTAATTAAATAAAGATGGGGATGTAATAACTGCGCATTGTGACTGCATGGCTGGGAAAATAAATAATCTTTCGAGGTAAAAGCGTTTGCTAGTGAAATGTTAGCGAGCCACTTTTCCTGCGTCTTTTTGTAAAGTCCTTAGTGCGAGGCTCTTTATTCATCTCTATACAAGGAATCCTAAAGTATCCATTAAAGGTTTCACAATTCGATCGGTTAGAAAACTTAAAACAACTCATGCAAAAGCCATATTCAGACACACTGCTCTAGTGAACAACTAGCTCGGCTGACCACCACTTCGTGATACGCATATGTAATGAAGCGGACGTGACGTCAATTGCAAGCAAGCAATTTCTTGCTTTGATTGAAGGTCCATTTGAGAAAAACATCTTCAATCTATGGAGGACCAAAAATGACTAAAGTATAAATAAATAAATACATAAATAAATACAGGAATATATTAATAAAGACATTCATTTTGGACAATAAAAACTAAATATTTACATTGATATGCTAAATATTACTCTGAAATCAAATAAATATACTTTTATTTAGGTTATTTATCAATATCTACATTTTTTCCTTTATTTATTTATCCATTCATTGCATATATTTATTTATGTATTTCTACATTTCTTCATTTATTTATTTATGTATTTCTACATTTCTTCATTTATTTATTTATGTATTTCTGTGTCGCTACATTTCTTCATTTTATTTATTTATGTATTTCTACATTTCTTCATTTATTTATTTATGTATTTCTGTGTTGCTGCATTTCTTCATTTATTTATTTGTGTATTTCTACATTTCTTCATTTATTTATTTATGTATTTCTGTGTCGCTACATTTCTTCATTTATTTATTTGTGTATTTCTACATTTCTTCATTTATTTATTTATGTATTTTTGTGTTCCTGTATGCTAATTAGGTGGGCGGTGCTGAACTCAATCTAGAACAGGATTGGTTAGGATTGCGTGAACTCTGGTCTCGATCATTACTGCCTCACATTACGGTACTCTGTTAGCTAGCTAGAGATCCTCTGTGCACTTTTGTGTGGTATGATGGCAGTTTCGAATGTAAGTTTTTTAGGAGCCATTGCTCATCAATTAAGAGCATTAGCAAATGATGTTAATGATGTTGAGCATAATGCACCTGAGGACTATCTACTCTTTCGGCTGGAAAGACTATTAGATTCTTTGACATGTCGAGGGGGCACTAGATCCATATTTTTATTGTCGAGACAACAGTAGATATGTGTGTAAGAACTGAGGTGTCCGGGTCCGGGCACAGCCAGGGATCTGCGACTTGACAATCTTCTCCCTCCTTGTTGATATGGTCCAAACAGTCGTGAAACCTCGGCTAGAATAAAGTGACAAGTAGCGTTATGAAATACATGAAACATCTACAAATTATAATGTACGAGTGCAATAAACACAAGGCCAATTTCCAAAACCTACCATCAACAGGGTGTCTTGGGGTCATAGTGTGTGAGGGCTGAGGAGAAATTGGCGCTATGCTAGCGGTCGGCGCTGCACACAAATGCAATGGATTTAGCAGATATGCCAGCTTTCTATTAAGTTAAACTGTAATTTTAGTTTACAGCGATGTACCGCTTCCGCTTGAAGTCATCACTAAAACTCATACTAAAACTGAGCAGTTAGCAACGATCTTGGAGTAATTTTGATAGCTATAGATTGCTTCTGTCTGGTTGCCCTGGCTGACCTACTGCCCACCAATCCTGCTATTGATTGAGTTCAGCACCGCCCGCCTAATTAGCATACGGCAACACAGAAATACATAAATAAATAAATGAAGAAATGTAGAAATACATAAATAATTAAATGAAGAAATGTAGAAATACATAAATAAATAAATGAAGAAATGTAGCGACACAGAAATACATAAATAAATAAATGAAGAAATGTAGAAATACATAAATAAATAAATGAAGAAATGTAGCGACACAGAAATACATAAATAAATAAATGAAGAAATGTAGAAATACATAAATAAATATATGCAATAAATGGATAAATAAATAAAGGAAAAAATGTAGATATTGATAAATAACCTAAATAAAAGTATATTTATTTGATTTCAGAGTAATATTTAGCATATCAATGTAAATATTTAGTTTTTATTGTCCAAAATGAATGTATTTATTAATATATTCCTGTATTTATTTATTTATACTTTAGTCATTTTTGGTCCTCCATATCAATCATCCATTTTCCAGCAAAAGAAATAGCATATTGGGCTGATTGTTTGTTAGCAACTCGGAAATGAACTTTATGCTCACTATCACCCCTAGCGGTGAGGCACAGACACTGCCTGCCTCACGCCAAGCTTTTCCCTTGTGTATTCATCTCCGATCAAAAGACTTAAACTAAATAAAAATAATACACACATTCGTGCAATACATTACTAAACACCATGAGAAGTTAGACAAATGTTATCAAAGCAGGATATTACAAACAAACAGCGATATATCAACAGCACGAGCTGAGAGCACTCCCACAGTCCACAGTGTGGGAGCGAGCGGTCTAGGGGGAGGCACGTATGAGCGCTGCCTCACCTTCGGTCTTTGTAATTTTGACTACAAAAATGATCAAAACTGGTCGGAATAGTTCCAAATATACATTAAAATCATAGGACAGTGGAAAACAATTACATATTACAACTAAAATAATTATTTGTTTCCTATGACGGCTCCCCTGACTGCACCCCTACTAGCAAAAAGTATCCGCGGCGGACCCGCGGCGGAGGTATCCTGAGATTTGCCGCGGATGCGCGCAGCGGGTCCGCATTGGAGTTCACCCGCGGCAAGACCCGTGGCGGTCTTGCTGCGGATAACAGCCTTTTCACTGAGGATCTGCCGCGGTGGCGCTGCTGGTCCGCTGCGGACTTGGCGGATCCGCTCAGGACCCGCTGCATATCCGCTTACCTGTTCTGTCCCGCGGATCTAATAATGTATATATTGAATTCTGCTGCATGTCATGTGAATATATACTCACTGCATGTAAACATGCCTATTGGTATTGCAATTTTTAATTAGAAAGCATTGGATGAAATAAGATTTTGTACATATTGTAACTACACAAAAACCATAATGGACACAATACATTACTCCTGTTATATAAAGTCAAATATTATTTATTATTTAATGGCAATTACAATACTTACTATATATTGCATAGTTCCTTTCATATATTCTAAACCATATGTAAGTACACAAATAAAGTATTTTTTAATAATCTATGATGCAAACTAGACATTTTAATCTTTTTTAAATCAAATATGCATTACAAAAATTGTGGACGCAATTTTATAAAAATATAATCCAATAGATTCTGTCAGATCCAAAAGCAGCTGCAGCTCTAACAACATGGCCCTCCCTTCACACATGCTACACAATGCAAATTAGTTCACTATAGCACAGGTTATGTATCAATGTATTCACTTTATCAAAAAAGACTGGGCTACATAATGGGACTGAAATGGGCACAACATTTTGTCAACAGTTTGTAGTTTCAAAGAATTGTGTGTCCGTAAAAGTCTGTCAGGTCATTGGGTTTGGGACCAATGCTTTAGTCATTAACAATTCAAAACAAATACATATCTTGAATACATTTTTTGGGGGATTGCCTCTAGAAAGTCCAAAAGGCAGCAGTAGGTGTAGATTATGGCTCTCCTTCTGCAGCTGTAGATGGTTCCACGTGGCGCCTGCTCAGATAAATCTTGAAGATTTGTCTAGTTTGGTCTGTCATGTTCCAGTAAAGGTTTTCCCCTTTTCACAGCATCAGAGTCTGACATGAGCACACACAGATTAGATCAGTGGACATTTCACTTTAGTATTTTCTTCTTTTTAGACTTACCAAAAGTTGTACAGCACAGCCATTCCAAATGTCCTTGGCTCAGCGTCCCCGTCCTATTTATATCAAAAGATTCTTAAAAAACAGGGTAATATTTATGTAGTAATTGTAAACACTAAACCCCAATATACTGCTGTCCTGATGCCCTCATCCTGAGGTCGCAGCCCGGACCTGACTGACCAGACCCAGATACTCAGCGAGGACACTGCAGTAAAATGAGAGTATTGAAAACAAACAAGTCTCTTAATCATAGGATCAGAGTTATCTAATATACACATTAACACTGAATACTCACCAAGAAGATGAATCATGTTCCATCTTCATTATGTGCAATACTGCCAACGAGAAGAAAATCGACAATACATAAAAGAAACATCAGATTTGTTGTTTTCTTTCAGACTCATGTTGTACAGTAATTACTTACCAATGAACTATGATCTACTTTAACCTTAAAATGAGTTGCTAAGAACCATTAAATAATCATGATCATAAAATGATCTTCTGTATTAAATATAACATATTAGATTTTTCATGACCTTAGCCATTAGGATTTAGTTGAATGTAATCCACCTGAACAGCAGTCTATTTGTTTTACTTAACAAAGTTATTACAAAACATATTTATGTAAATTTACAATATTATGTACATGTGTATTTCGTAGAGGCTATCTGTGGAGCTCTACACGGCGACCAAAATGACCAGCCCAATCACACACTGAATCTCACTCAATATGGTATAAATAATTGTAATATTCAATTTGTAATTTTTTTGCTATAGACTTATAATAAAAAAATACTCTTTATAATAAAAATAAATAATAAAGATGCAAACACAATAAACAATACCCAAAACCATAAACTTATGGAGACGGTGGTATGCCTTGCCAGACCTCTGTCTGCTGCCAAATTAAACCACCTAATGCAGTGCTTAAAAACCTCCACGTCCGTGATTGTGCGGCAGAGATTATTCCTTTTTACAGCTTCTGGAAGAATAATAACAATTGAAGTCAATAATTCCCTTTGACTGACGTATCCAAAATCGATGCAAGAGCGAGACAAGAGATCTTCACGTTTAACATCTGCATTTAATTATCTTTACAATCAGATACAGAATGTTCAACAAAAGTGCTCCTATTCTAGGCCTGCTCTTCCCCTGTCCGTGCCCTGTCCTGTCTGACCTCGAAAAACACACACAGGGGCTCATGAGGGAGACTTCCGATGACGTCATCCTTATGCGTCCAAGGGGTGGAGTTTCCGGGTGTGCTGACGTCCCTTGTCCACTGGGAGGCGTCAGAATGCAATTGGTGAATCTCCCAGTCTGCCTCAAGATTCAGGTTCTGAACTCTTGTCCTCGTCAAAATGTTTATTATTTAAAGTTAATAATTCGCCCTGTTTAAACAGCATTTTATCTTTATGACTCATGTCTGATTATCCTGTGTCCTTGGGGTTTTTCCTGAGTGCACGGAGGTCTTTCTGGCTATGATGTTCAAATGGTCAAATATTAAAATATACAACACAATACAAAGAGATTATTGAGTATAATACTTTCATACAATAGGCACATTTTACATGTGCACATGTAACATTTTGATGATAAGGATTACTTCCAATTAATACTGTGTCTTTAAACTGAATTAAATTATAGATCACAAGCCATGAAATCATGGCTTATTGACACAATTTTGCTCCATTGAGGTTTGTATTTAAAAAGCAATGAACTCAAACGTAGCGAGGACCCCCAGGCACACAGTATGTCAGTATTTGACAGTATTTGAACTCACCCAAAATGAGAGTCTTCAAGGCCATACTTTTGAATGGTATTTTGCCATGAACCCCTTTCCAGCTGATTTTCTGGGCACAGCTGTCGTTGAAAATGCAGGCCAGGATATTCCACGTGACTTTTTTGTGGTCTTGCCCACCGATTGCTGAAAGCTTTTTGATCTGCAACATAAACAATCCGTTTTGTTCTCTTAGGACAGCGATTTCTTGGGGTCATACAAGTTCCCCAGGCTCCTCGAGTTTGTTAAAACCGGTACAAGCCAGGCTTTGATAACCACTACCTTAATACTTTCTTCCGTTTAAATTATTTCTTATTTTCATGACTGATTTACTCATTTTCAAACTTGACAATATTAAGACAATGTGAATTATTCAAACTAATTTTAATGGCTGCTACTACCTGTTTTTGTTTTATATTGATGCACTTTAACCAAGCACTTGAACTGACTGCTGTAAAGCATTGTATTGTTTGAATCAAATGTGTAACCAACCACTTGCTGCTTCAGTTCCATGTTGGTGCCTCTAATCCATGCCTCCATCCTTTCCACATCCTCCAATGTGTTGATTGGAAATGTTACTGCCTCTGGGAAGTTCACTTCGGATTGTGATGGAGTTGCACACACTTTGCTTTGCAAATAATTGACTTTCAGCATTAATTGCTCTTGCTGGAGCTTTATCGCTTCAAGAAGGCCCAGTATTTGGATCTGTGTAGCTGAAAAACGAGGCAAAATGTGCTTTTAAATAATGAATCAATTACCAGATTAATAAAAACCAAGCCACAAATATTACAATTTAATTGCAACTATTATTCTGTTTAATATTTATACCACCTTTTAAAAAGGTCAAATTCAAAGGTGAAGTAGGAGTGTGTTCTTTGGCCATTGCTTATGTTGTTGGTGGTGGTGGTGGTGGAATAAATGGAGCTTTTCTTTTCTCTTTTCTTGGCTCTGGCTCAGAGCTCTCTGAGCCACTGTCTCCATAAAAGTGACTGAGGATACATTCGACAGCATTAGTGTTTTACCAGTTACCAGTAAAACAATCAAGATGAAGAGATTCTTTATTTGTGCCACAGTGGGAACATTTTCGATTAATTCACAGATTAATTGCCATTGCTAGAAATTATTGTATAAAAATCACAGTTTACTTACTTTGTTTTACGCTTCCTCTTTCTTGGTCCAGCATGCTCCTCGTCTGACTGAAGGTCAGATGTGGAGCAGGTCAGTGCCCTCTGCAAAGTTTGCCTGACTTCAAGGTACTGGTCTGCAAAACAATATTTTTTTCTGATCTCATCACATAAACATACCCACTAAACATCCGACGTCCACTCAACCTCCAGATCACGTCAATATCGCGTCAGTCGGTCGTGACCTTTTATGTACGTCCAAACGACGTCTGTGCAAGGTGCGCATCTGGATGTAAAACAATGACCTCCCATATACGTGGATATGACGTTCAATCCCGACCTCCCCTAGACGTCGAAAACAGGTCATCGGCCGTCCGACGCAGTACGTCTTGATCTAGCAATACAATATATAGGCTGTGGAGCAAATTCCATGTACCTGACGGTAGTGTAGTGGTTAAGCAAATGTGTGCAGCCTTGGTTACGTGAGTTCGAGCCCACTCGCGTGTATTATTATCTTTACATATTTGTTTTGATTTTTAACGAACAATTTTTTTCTGTTTGGTTAAAGACTAATAAACACTCAACATAGGATTACGTAGTGGTTAATAATAAAACTTGTGAATGTATGCATTTGTTGTGCTAACAATCTCAAGTTTGCAAATAAGGGGTCAGCACTTGAGATTTTATGCAAATGCATGGGTTCACAAGTTTTATTATTAGCCACTACATAATCTTATGTTGAGTGTTTATTCGTTTTTAACCAAACAGAAAAATTGTTCGCTAAAAAGTGAAAAGTCAAAAAATTTCCGACGGGGATTTGAATCCGCGTCGTTGCGACCGAAGTCTCATTACGCAACCGCTACACCACCTCCAGGCACGTTTTGTGCCCACTGGGAAAAGATAATACATAACACCCTAAACAACCGACGCACACTTATGCAAGGTTACAGCCTGACACGTGAGTCGGTCGGTCGAGGACCTGTTTTCCACGTCTAAACGACGTAAGGTGTGCATCTGGACGTAAAGCAATGCCTTCCCAGACGTTGATATGACGTTGAATCTGTACCTCTGTCGCTGCCCTGCTTTATTTACTTGGAATCACCCTCTCTAGTAAGTACACAGTCTGCACAGTTTTTAGATATAGATGTATCATTTCCACATTGAAAAGAGTTGGAGACAGAAAGTAAGTTGTTTTCTCACGTATACGTGGATTTTGTTAAGTATATTTTGTATATTATCTGTATTTTGAATTGCCAGTGCATGAATCTATAATAATAACGGCTGGCACTGCTCAGCTGAAAGGGAGACACCTTTTTTTAGTTTTTAACTCATTCACTGCCCAATCACGACAAAACTCGTCATGTTGAATAGTAACGCTCACTGCCCATGACGAGTTTGACGAGATTTTCATGTTATTACACGGGAGGCTACAGTAATGTCTGGCGCACCTTGTGAATGACCCACAATACTGATATATAGTGCAAATGTACCTGTAATGATAAATCAACACCAGTAGGATGCAGTATTGCGCCACAGGAGAGGTCATAAGTCATTGGAGAGAAGGAGGAGGAGTGTGGGAGTGTTTGGACAGCGTGCTGCTGTAGCAGAGCGATGATAGCGTAGCATTGAGACGGATCAGCGATCTAGTTTAGCGATAGTATAGCAAGAGTGATGGCGAAAAAGAATAGTTATAAGCAGTTGACACTGCTTCAGAGATTGACTCGCGGATCAGTGAGTGAGGTCGAGAGGGGAGAGAGTGGAGACCCCGGTGGAGGTCCGTCTCAGCAGCCACATTTGCGCGGAGCAAGAGCCCGGAGCAGGGACACACCTTCCGCCTCTCGCAGCTGCTGTTGTTACTGATGCCTCGGATTCGTTCAGAGAACCTGATCATGATTTATCGGATGAGTGGTTGCAGTCTCAAACCAGCAGAGCATCCTCTCCAGAAGCTCCACAAAGAGTCGAAGGTAAGAACTTGCTAAATTGCCTAGAATATGCTGACTTGAGAGGAGGGAAAGGCGCGGAAACTTGCTCTGATCTGCTAAGTAACACAGCGCTCAAATCCTACTGTTTCTTTAGTAAATGCCAGTTATGTGTTTTATCATTGTTGTATTTATTATTTTTATGTTTAGTTATTTCATACTTGAACATCTTGTTGTAGTGTCATAGCTCTGACTAAATGAAATGTGTTCATTCACAGATTCTGATAAAAGAGCCCTCCCCCATTGGGGTTGACAGGGCATGGAGGTAAAGATAATGCCTCCTCATACCATTGTACATATTTTTGTATATATTCTCCTGGTATAGTGATTTACAAATTTATATTATTTACAGGTGGTGCATCGAGAGGCAGTTGCTGTGCACAAAAAAGGTAAAAGGACTACTATTTCTATTCTTGTACATCCCATGGCAATATAATATAATAATAATAATATAGTATACTTGTTTCGTCCAAAAGCAGGGAGGAAGGCCTTCATTGTATTTTATGTATTGATTTGTTGTAACAAATTCACTGTATAATATAGTTATTGTGTGTATCAAATTTCCAGCACGTTCGTCACCCAGAAGCTCTGGGGAAGATGGCTGACAGGAGGATGAATGGGAGCCGAGTAAGTTGCCCTTCACAGGAGCTCCTGGACCTCAGAGACTGCGGACAGAGGCTGCGAAGCTGGATTCATCTGATCCAGCTGACTTTCTGGAGCTGGATTCATCTGATCCAGCTGACTTTCTGGAGCTGGATTCATCTGATCCAGACTTTCTGGAGCTGGATTCATCTGATCCAGACTTTCTGGAGCTCTTCTTCACGGAGGGAGAACTACAAATGGTACACAGCGTGTCGTGTTCCGTTGCACACAGTGTTTCAACCTCTACAACTCAAAGCTGAACTACTGGGAGGACTGAAAAAGCAGATAAACTCACTCATACACACACTCACGAACACTCACACACACACAGACACTCACTCACACAGACACTCACTCGCACACTGACATTCACACACTGACACTCACTCACACAGACACTCACTCGCACACTGACATTCACACACACAGACACTCACGCACACAGACACTCACTCACACACTGACATTCACACACACAGACACTCACTCGCACACTGACATTCACACACACACACTCAAATTCACATGCTTCATTCTATTTTATACATCTATAGTTTTATTGATCTTTGTGTTGTTGTTTGACGTTTTGGTTGATGGAATAGAAGAAAGTAAAATTTTCTATCTGAATAAATTGCCAACAATTTGCCATCAAAAGTATTATTTCAGAGTCATGTTTTTATAATTTTTGTAATGGAACAAGTGTGAAGATGTTTTGAGTTGTCACTAAAGCAGCAAAAATGCATCTAAAAGTCTCTTTTCAGCTTGATATGTTCCTGTTTACATACAGCTCCTTTTCTGTTTTCTTGCTCAGACCAGGTGTTGTGGGTGAAAGTATGCTTTGTTCTATGGCGAATAGCTCAAGAACGGTAAGAGGTAGAAACAAACTGTTTTTTTCAGAGTAAAGCAGAGAGGCTAATCTTTAATTTGGTGCCCTTGGTGTTTACATCGTCTAAAAAATGAATATTCTGTGGCACTTCAAAGTTGGGTCAAATCACCTGAAATTGCTGGCAGAACGCACTTCTCAAATCTGAAAATGCCTGGCAGTCAATGAGTTAAGTTAAAGTTTAAAATATGATATTGTTTTTCATATTTCAAACTATTTTTAACACATTAGCATTCTTAGGTTAGACTGTCCAACAAACTATGTGTTAAAAAAGGTTAAGATTCTTGAGTTTTAAAATAATAATTCAATTCCAAAATGTAAAGTTACTGTATATTTCACAATGGTTTATAAACTGAAAAAAGACAACAGTACTTAGTAAACTAAGTTTAAAAACAGGGAGATCAGCTTTAATATTTGGGACACTCCCATCATTTAGACACCTGTGATGTCATCAGTTGGAGTTGAGTTCAGGTGTGGGACCATGTGGGACCATAGGAGCACACAGATGTTACCTGCTGCAGAAAGAGAGTTTAATGTTCATGTATTGCTTTGTTTAATAAATGGATTTAATGTCTTCCCATTAAATCTTCAATGTCAGAGACTTTCACTTCTTCTCACTGTGGCTGTTTAAATGAGCCACTACAGTTGTTATTTTTGTTATTGTTAGCTGCAAATATTAAATATCCATTCATCTGCTGGTAGCAAGCTAACTAGCGCTTGCAACTCTATTCAATTTCTTACTTTTTCTTATAAACTTTAAAACCAGCCATATGTTAATTCAAATACATTTACCTTTGCTAATGCAGTCAATTATTGTAAAATCCATAGAGTATAATTTCATGATTGTTGCAATAACTAATGTTCTGTGTGTATTCCTAATCTGTCATGTGTGTTTGAGTCTTACAGGTGTCAGACTGTGTTGAAGGTGTTCAAAGGTAAGAATCACACTCTCACACATTGATTGTTCTTCTGTATTATGTTGTTTTGAGAATAAACCATTATTTGGTGTATTCTCTTTGAAAACATCTATCTTTTTCTCAGATTGTTCAGCAACTCACTCAAGATGAGGGAAAAGAGCAACAAGGGGAAAATGCCCCCTCGGAAATGCAACATGTGTAGAGTAATACAGGGTAAGAAGCTTTCAGGGCTCATTTGTCCATGTGCAAAACAAATGCACATTTGCAATTGTTTTTACATGGAATTACTCCAATGACCAAAGCCTTATCCCAAGTTTCTCAGACGGAGTGTCTTCCAGTGTCTCGAGCTAGTGCAGTGCCAAGGTTTGTGTCACATGGTGATGGATCGAGTGGTTTGAGGCATTAATAGAAAGTTATGTGTTGTTACATCACTTTGCCACATTATGTTGAAACTAAACATGTTCCACATTTTCAGGTGCTGTGCTTGGACCTTGTGATGAGAGACTGAAGACCAAGAGAGGACACATGTTGGAACATCAACATTCAATAAATGCATTCTTCTGCCTTTCAGATTGTGTTTTTACATCTGGGGAACCTAGAGTGTAGCTTGTGCCTGTTTTAATACTGATCCAAACATAGGCGCTACAATCA